GAATACTAAGTGATAAAATCTCCACGAAATGGAATATGCTTTTGAAACAGCTTTCTTCAGAAATATGTTTTCTAAATTTTTTCACGGCTATGGCCTTAAATCGTTTTCTTCACCGTTTTGATTATAGCAGCTTTAGCGAAAGTTTTAGGCATTTTAAATTACGCATAATCATTTTTACTTTATATATATATATATATATATATATATATACGTACGAGATAAAAAATATGTAAATCAGCTTTATAATTTAATTTCGTAGTAGCCTTTTAATTGATCTTTTTAAATTTAGTTATTTCTTCTTTATTTTAAAAATAAAAATAACATTTCTGGACTACGCCATTTCTAGATTAATCTATGCCACAAAGCTAGCGTAACGCTGATGAAGAAACCTAAACCTTTGAAAACCAAAATGTTCCTCTTTGGTGAGCAGCCATGTTGAAAAATGCTTATTTCGCTTGTATCTCTGTTGCTGCTTGGCCATCATTTCATTTCGCTGTACTCTCTTCCCTTCGCAATAGCATTCAAAAATGTAAATCTTTTGAAAATAGGCACGATTAAGTGCCAAGTGAACTGTGACTCTAAATATGAATTTAAATAAGCCTGGAATTAAAACCCCGTCGACAGTTATTCTTAGTAATTCTACGTTTTATGTATAAATTATCTACGCCATCAGTATTTCTGCGTTTTTCTGTTCAATATTCCTACATCTCACTTCAGTACTTCTAAATTTTGGTTTTATCGCATATATATATATGTGGGGGTCGCGTGTGAGAGAGACAAAGAGAGGTAACGTTGTGTAAATAAAAATTGTAACTGCAGCAGTTGTCCATTTTAATTTGACTAATTTTCGCTTTTTTTCTAAAGTAGTTTAATTGCCAATAACAAATCTACCTAAATTGTGTCATTTAAAAATTAATCAAAGTTATTTGATATTTACATAAGTTATTAATTAGCTAATCAAGATTAAACTACATCAAATTTAAATCATTCTGAGGCAATATTTTATCCTGAATACGTCGTATTTACTCTCTGCTTCACTTTCTAATTAGACCACCACACACTGCTTCTCTAATTACCGCAATGTCTTCAAAAACATAAAACGCTCTTTGCGAGTCGCGAATTTTGAGACAAATAGTTGGAGGCTGCGCATTAAAAAATAAAATATATGTTTTACAGATATATATTAAAAATATATATAAAAAATAAGCGATATGTTTAGAAAATATAAGATATGTTTTACAGGCCTTCACGGCTGCTATTATTTTTTTACTATTAATATTTAATTTGTTTTTTTCATTCCTCCCTTCAAAGAGAGTATGGCCTAGAGGAGAAATATTATACTAAAGGAAATATAAATCCTGAAATCTAGAACTAATATTTAAAACAATGAAGAGGATAAATTTTGAACAAATTTTGAAAATAAAAATTTTTATAATAAAAAAATCTGAAAAGCTTTCAGATTTTATGTTAAGCCTAAAAGGACTTACTTAACGTTTTGTGTGTTACCTTTATTGATTAATTATAATGTTCTTCGAACTTAAAACACATATAATTCAATTCACCCACAATATCACAAAATATTTAAAAACAGCATATCTTTAGAATTTCGGATAGACAGTCTCGCGCGCTGGAGATAAAGATGTGTTTTTCCGTACAGTGTTGCCATTGCTCGGTTTGAAATTGTTGAGCTTGTTAATCAAAAATTCGTTAAAAGTTTACAAAATTTTAAACAGGTAATAAAAGAAATTCGAAATTCGGGGCTTCAGGTGCTCATGTTCGGGTGAAGGACTACGTTATTCAAAATTTGATGGTTCTAGGTATCGCTGTTTCTTCACAATGCTAGAAAAATGCATGTATTCGTCTAAATGCTTCAATATTCATTTTCATTAAATATAATACATGGCGATAATATTTGGTGGCAACAGTTTGAAAAGTGGATCGACGCAAAATGCCGTTTTGAAATTAATAGCCCTTCTGGGCTAACGGCTTTTGTGCTAATAAATTCAGTTTTTAGAGTCAGTATTAAAATTTAAGTAGTAAGTTAAACATTTCTTGTTTTTGCAAAATCCGAATAATTAGCATGGCGTTTCGGAAAAATTTTTAATAATCTACCACGAACATAGAAATTTTATCTCACCCTTTCTAATTTCAATGCATTGCAACAAATTTCACATGTTTATAGCACAGTATTTATATTACTCTTTGACATCATAAGAATTAAAATATATTGCTGAAACTACTTTTTTTTTCATATTTATTTTTTACTTCAGTAATAATCAATTACTCATTTTACATAAACTGGTGGTTTCAGAATTCTATCAAACAAAACGTTTCGAAAATGGGGTATATCCTGTTTAACTGAATGGTGCGTTGCAGCACTAGTGTTTAACGGATGCTCGACATTTGCTTAAAAAATGCCTTTATTATTTGCATAAGGTAACTAATGGCTAAAGAACTACATTAAAACCTTCCATAATAATAACAATAAAGTTAAAAAAAAAAAAAAAAAAAAAAAAAAAGTACATTTATTCTAGAAAATGGTAAACTTTAGAATTTGTTTGCATGAAAGGGTAAAAAGAACAATTACTCAAGCGTAAAATCTACTACTCTGCATCTGAACCAATACTGCTTATAAAATATTTTATCCTCTGCATTCAGTTATTCATTACCTAAAATCTCCTCTTCATGATTTCAAACTGTGTTTTAATAAATTTCGTACATTACCCACATTCAATTGTATTACCATTATTCTTTTTCTTAAATTACTTATATTTTTATAGCAATAATCAATGTACATTTTTTAATATTTCTGTATTCGTACACAACACAAACTTTATACTAGTTATACCTTAATTTTCAAATTAATTTCATTAATATTTCTCATTTATCTTAATTTCACAGTAAGTAAATTTTCTTAAAAAAATTGAAAATTATAATCACTATCTCATTAAGTTATAATAAACTTTCCAAAATAAAATGTTTGAAAATTTTAAAATTCCTCTTTCAACACAGTTATTGAAAATGGCATTTATGTTATTAAAAAGATTTAGTTTTATATTTGCAAAATAAAAAGAGAATAACATCTTTAGAGTTCAAAAGAATGATAATTAAGAGCAATTTCCTCTTAGATGGTTGTACAAAACATTTTGCCTACACTGATTAATAAACAAATTGCTTCACAGTAATGAAAAAATGTAAGTATACTATGTTACAAAAATATAAAATTAATTGCACCAATAAAGTTATTAAATGCTGAAAGCATCAAATAAAAATATTAGCATAATTACATTTTCTTTCTCTGAACAACATTTTTTTTATATTTTCATAAAATGCTAAATCAAAATGCAGAAAATTTTCATCTAAAGCGCTTTAATAAAAATTTAAAATTCGTAGCTTTTCATTAAATTTTGTATCACTGACAGAAACTTTAGTTCCTCCTCAGTTTTCTTACTCTGTACTTTAAAAGAGAAATTAAATTCTACGCATATTTTACTGAATCTAAAGCAGAAGTAGGCAAATAAGAAGCACAAGCAATTAAAATACTTTTCTAAAACATAGCCTGATAAATGATTCTTTTAATTCGCAATAATATCAAAGCGGACGTACAAGAAAAAAGGCCAGTCTAGATTCTTGAAATCACTTTAAAGACACTTCGCTTGAATTTATAACAGGACGCAACATCAGAGCGATGAGATGGTGATTTTTTTTCGCCACTGCTTAATGTTGCACGTTAGTACATCAGCACTTCCGCAAAGAACCTAGTAAATGTAAACACCGCCAGCAATGGCAATAATAATTCAAACCTGGTAACCCAAAGGGAGCAACTATTCCCTTTTTTTCCCTTTCTTACTTTCCCAGGTAGCTAATATTTCCTTTATGTTGTACTATATGGTTCCTCTATATACTGCCCTTCATAATTTTGTATGTTGAATCATTACACTCATTGTTCGCCTTTACACGTGTACATATACACTATTATTACCACACTATTCTTCACATAGCCACTATTATTTTGTCTGTTTCCAAGCTGTCTTTTCTGAAATTTTAGAAGTTAATAGGAGGAATTATTTTCGTTTAACTATGGAAGTGTTCGGCGACAGTGGCTTGTCTGCAGTAGTGTCTCTCAAAAGGATTTTTGCCTTCACCGAAAACATGTTCACAGCAAACAACAGATCCACGGAGATTCTGATCTTACTGATTAAGAAGAACGTGGAAAGGGACACCCTATCATGACTGATGAATGGAAGACATATCCATTCTTATGCAGGCATAGGTATTATGTACACCTTGCGCACAAAAGAAAAGGGAAAGTATTATATCTCTCGTTCCCTTAACGTGAACCCTTAACGTGAAGAGAAAGATACGTAAGAATATGCACAAATATCGGCAATAATAAATATCAAAGACCACCTTTAACTAATCATTACATTTGGGAACACATTTTTGGGGGTGGAGTGGCGAAAAAATTAATTCGCTATTATCTTCTCACAGGGATGCTGCAATTTAATTTTGTACACGCTAATTTCACTCTTGAAATTGCTTGGAAATTAGATAAAATATAACAATACAATCCTAAATTTACAAGAATGCATGATTTTAGCAAAAGAGCATTTAAGATAATTGTGATCCGAACTGAAGGTTATTTTGTGCGAATGCTTAATTTGTGTAAATTTTCTCTGAAAAAAACTGAATTTAATTCTTATTTGGCTGGAGAAAATAAACAGAGTGATAATGTGTTGAGGATATTTTTAACTCTCTAAATGTTTCCTATTCTCTCTTCTTTTATCAATTATTCCTAACTTTTAATTTTTCGCTTGAAAAGTATTCAAATTTTGTGAATTAAGTGATCATGCCTTTCTTAAATTTTTCATTAAAATACATATGCTTGCGTTCAAGAAACTTTGATGGGTGTTTTGATACATTAATAAATTATTCTCTTTTTCAGATCTTACGGTTGGGGTGATAAATGTTCTTACAGATATTATATGGAGAGTAACTGTAGCTTTCTATGCGGACAATATCACATGCAAGCTAGTCAAATATTTGCAGGTAAGAAGGCTTTCTCAATTATTATATAGAATTTAAATTTTTCTAATAGTATGTTGCTGTAGAGTTAATACTCATGCACCCATTTTATGTATTTATGACAACCATCAAGTGAATTATTTAACATTATTGGTTAAAAAAACCAGCATGTGTAATATTATCTGCCCATTTACTATTTGTCACTACGTGGATACTTTGTTACAGCAGTAGACGGAAAACTGTTGGAATGAACTGAAGTTTCGAGAATGTAATCAGTCATCTTCATAGGATTTACTCGTTTCAAAATGCAGAGATAATTTTGAGTACATTATTAAATGCCGTGCTTATCGTATGTATCCATCTTACTTCTTCAAATTATAGGACAAATAAGTGAAGAACAAACCATCAGTTTTCCTCTCGGGACATTCCGAACACAGACTTCCCATTAACCATTAAAAAACAGAAGCCGTCCATGTATGCATAAAATTCCGAAACGCCCCTTTGCGTTCATTACCCAACCTGCTTCCTCTGCTCCCCGCCCATCAACGCCTAAAGAAGTGTGAAGATTTCAAATGACTTCCTTTTTACTTCTTACCAAAGAAGCTTCAATTAGTCTTTTAGAAGAAGCTGCATACAGTACACTGATGTGCAATGCATTTGGATAAACTGCACCTACTATTGCACACCTTGGGGGTAGCGAAGAAATCAACAACGCAATTTCGGCCGTTTCGGATAGTTGCGGCCAGTTGAAAGAAAGGCCGTCTCGGGTGATTTGTCTTTCAAAGAATTAATGTAATGTAATATACGAGTGTGTTGTAGCCCTCCTGTTATTAATCTTTTCATTTTTATGAAAAATTAAAAGAAAATTCCCATTCTATCGACATTTATGCAATTATAACATTGTCATATTACGAAGTCTACAATTATCTACCTCTCTATCGTTGTTCGTTTGACAAAATTCAACTTACATTTTTGACTTGAACGTTAATATGATATATATTAGATTTACATGCACTATACATCAAACATAAATGTATGATACAAAATAGGGCTTTTCCCTCTTATATGGTGATGTTTCTTCCCTGTTTCGATTTTGCGCCTCAAATGTTGCCAAAATGTGGAGATAATTATACTAAACTTACGCCGATTTATAAACATAGTAAATGTACTTTGTTTTATTTTAATAAAGTAGCACTAGCTGAATGTCTTAAAGGCGGTGCAGCTGCTCATCTGAGAGTAAATAAATAAAATAGCACTCGAAGGTTTAGCTTTATAAGGTTAACTGAATTTAGTTTATATTTGATAATATTGATAGTATTGCTTTATATTCATTCACTTTAAAATCTTTTAATTAGATCTTGATGATTTTCGTTGGCGTAATCTTTAACTTTGGTCTAATCTAAGCAAGGTTTATATTTGATTTCCTTGTGTTTCATTTGATCTGGTAATTCTAAGAGAATGGTTTATTAGAGCCGGTTCTAATAATTCTAATAAACCGGTTCTGGTTAAGACGTTAAGCGAATTATCGCTATATCTAAAAACAATGGCAGAGTCCTGAGAAGGTTAAAATAGAAGGTTCCACTGGCGCAGAATTTAGATCATAAAGGTACTCTCTTGTGCTACAATATAACCCCAAGTCGTCGTAATTCAAATAAATCGAGCAATCTATCTTAAATCAAATGCTGATCTGTAGTCAAGGACTACACAGTTAAATACTGCTAGAAGCTTGCTAACTCTATTGGAGCGTCAGAATTAAAATTTCAGCAGCGAGAAACCGCAAAGTCAAATAATTACAATTATGAGAGCTGGCAGAAAAGTAACCACCTAGCGTGAACCTGATGCCAGAAGCACGTTTTGTTTTCAAACCCCAAAACTTCAGTTTAAATACACACTCAGTTGCAGTCTGGTGAGGAATGTGGAAAGGAGAAGTTATAGTAAAGACTGATATTATAAATAACTGGTTAATTAACATAAGATTCCCCAAAGTTTATTTTAAAATTTTAAATGTTAAGTGATTTTTAAAAATTTTTAGATGTTTTGAATTGTAACTTATAAAATTTTATATATCACTTTAATTTAGATATTTTTAAAAATATGTTTAATATAAAAATAAAATTAAATAAAAAAATATGTTCATTAATAAAAAGTGTTTAAAAAGTTCCAAATATTTCAGAACCTTCTAAAATTCGAATTCAATAAAATTTAGAATTCGTCATACCTCTAATTATAAGTGATACGGGAATTACATCTATGAATACCAGCCAGATGTAATTAAAACCTACATTCTTGAATAGCAAAACACAATTAAATTCTTCAAAGTCTCAATAAATTAAATTCTTCTTCAAAGTCTCAATAAATTAAATTCTTCTTCAAAGTCTCAATAAATAAATCGCATAAAATCAAGGCCTAGGAAACTGAGAAAAAATGCATACGCTCACATGTTGATTTCAGATAACAGCTAGAAATTAAAGAGTGAAAATGTTTGTTATAAAAGTTATCTATCTTTTTGTAAAAAATTCACACTCGACCTTTATATTAGAAGTTCTGACTCTGATTTCGTTTTTTGTTGGAGAAAGGAGACCAAATATTTGCGATCCCTCATCACGTAATTCCCAGTCCTCAAAGATGTTTGCTCAAATTTGTAGCTGAGTTAGGTGACATGATTTCTAGACTAACCGGATGCCAAGCTCTTACATTAGTGGTTCTCCCTATGCGGGAACTACTAGCCAAACATGCTATTCTAGGTTTCATTAAAAGTTAACAAAAGAAATGCTATGTAACAACCTTTCCTACACTACGTAACAATATTATAACATGAGTCTGACATCGTCTACGTGGTAAACGTAGGATAGGATAAAACATTAGACTTACGTGAATTTAATTTCTTGTGAAAACAGGTGAAATAATCTATACGATATATGCATACTGATTGATATCTTGCCATAATATTTGTGTAGTGTTACGAATAGAAGAAACAAGATTAAAATTTATATTCATTATTATCGATTGTAATAAATAATTTAATCGTTATTATGTTAAATGAACTTTGTTTCAGTAATCTGCCATCAAATTTAAATTCATTCACTTTAAAATCAATTTCTTATTACTCCAGTTAATAGAACTAAACTCTCAGCATAAGGTCAGCCGAACGTAATATTAATCATTTTATAAGCATGAAGATAATTTGAGCTATTAAACGATTTCCTTATTGTTGTCCACAGCTGCTAAACGTCTAATTTCAAAGCATAGATTTTGGTTTTCATTATTTGCAGTGGGTCCTGATAAATAACACATAAATTTAAAATAACACATAAATAGCACATAAATTTAAAATTCATCGATGTAACTCATAAACTGAATGCTGTGTTAGCCTACCTGGAAACATACTCAGTTTTCTCAGACGATTTACGTAATCGTACAGTCACACTTTTAGGTATATATATCTTGGAATAAAATGTTTACTTTATTTTTGTTTCAATATTACACTAAAAATCGAAACAAAACCGATGCATGGCTATTCATCCTTAACATACTACACGCAACATTTCTTTGAGCTAAAAACAAAAATTAGAGTAACAAACGTTGTAGAGCTAATATGATTTTTTGTGGAAGCCGCAAAGATGAAAAATAAGCAACGCCTTCACCGGAAATCGAACACGTACCTCTGGAATACGCGCCCAGAGTGCAGACCACCACACTACGAAAGCATGCTATAAGAACGCGAGAGAAATACCTTATAACGTTACTGAAAGTGCTGCAGTAAAACGATCATCGAGATCTTATCTCTCTGATCGTCTTTTATGTCACCTAATTTCTTTATATATAATTGGCTTATAAATATTGCACATTATTTATGAATCATTAAGATCAAGTTACTTTATTTTCTTCAGGTACTCCGCATGCTTTACAGATTAATTAAATATTTCTTTTTCCTTATAACAGCAGACTTAATCTCTGAATTCATAGCATGTTCTTCCGAGATAATACGCTCTTTCTCTGTGTATATATATATATATATAAAGGTCTCAGACGAAAGATATTATCATATATATTTTATTATATATTGCTTAATATCTAGTGTTATCACGTACTGAATGTTTTTTGCAGTAGCCGGGAAGAAGCTATTTCATATATTATATCGCAAACGATCTTATATTGTTTTTAGCTTCACCATGATACAACAAGAGACAAAATTAAAGAGCTTTTAGAGATTATGTCTATATGGTAGAGTTAATAAAAATCTGTCTGCTCTGTAACATTTCCTGTTCTGAAATACTATCGCAAGAAAGCGTAGTATCTTCGAGACTTATCAAAGTACAAGAGCAAATAGCGGCGTTAATGTAAAATGACTCACCTCAGATTTCTTCCAGTAGTAAAAATTGTGTCTTTGCTCATTAAAGGCTTTTGATACGGCCAAAAAAATAGCAAAATACATCGATAGTACAATTCCTAAACTCGCAAATTATGCAGTAAATTTCAAATCTCAACAGAACACAAAAATTCTCCAAGCTCTCGCTGAACGTTAAAACACTTAACGAAAGAGAAAAATATGACGGAAGGTTTTCTGTAACCAACTTAACTATCTAACATTTGCCATCATTATTTACAAGAAAAAAAAATCTAAAAAATTCAGATTTTAAATTACGTCCAAAGGGGCGTTTTATTAACGTTTTGTGTGATACCTTTATTTATTAAATATCATGTTCTTCGCACTTAAACCGTAAAATTCAGTTCAATAGCAATGTCGCAAAATAATTTTAAAATGAGCGTATCTTTAGAATTTGCGATACACAGTTACGGGCGCTCGAAATAAAAAGGTTCCTCCCCCCCGTAGAGTGTTGCCTTTTGCTCGCTTTCAAATTGTTGAGTTTGTTAATGGAAAATTCGTTAAAGTTTTACAAAATATGAAATCGATAATAAACCAAATTTCAAATTTGAGCTTCCACATGCCCATATTCGTACGAAGATTACGTCATTCAAAATTCGATGGCTCTATATACCGTTGTTTTATCACAGTGGGAGAA